TTCATAAGCAGTGAAGTGTTATCTCGCTCAGTTCACCCGAAGTGGACGAGAATAAGTCAAAACGACGCCTATTTTCACTGCCGACTGGGATGATAAAACACCAAGGTGGTATGACTAATCGTTTTTAACCCGATGGTTCGGTAGAATATACAAATGAGCCTCACGATATTTCTTAATCTTATCACTTGTTCCATTATGGACTTCTAAGGCCTAAATGACGTGTTCGGCAAACAGAGGAGATCCATAGTGGCCCACCAATGTTCGATATCCGGGCCCGAACACAAAGTGACCGATCGTAGGAAAAACGTCACAATGGCGTCTAGCTACATCAAATTAGCGTGCGATTCAAGTTAGTGAGAACAGCATACTCAATTAATGCATTTGACTAATAGCGAGTGAAAAGCTGATAACGTTGATGATGTACTGGCGTATTGGAATTCGAGCATAGGGGTGGGGCATCAGACCATAAACAAAGCTAGTGGTGCAAGACAAAAACATCCCCACGTGTTGAAAACTAACTCGTAACAGATTGAGAGGACGTGTCGGATGGATGGGAGGAGCAGGAGACTTACTTGAGACCGTAGGACTTCGACTCTATACCATGTAGAGTATCTTGGAGAGAATTGATGAGAATCTTGCAACGATCGTCACTTGCAATCTTGGATTGCTTAATAAGAGATATAGCCGTCACCAGAGTTTCAATCGCACTCGCATAATCACCACTTGCAGCATCTTGGACGGCTCGGTTGATTGCACTCGAGGAAACAGTTTTGTTGCGTTGAAGGATATCTTCGAATTCGGATTCTGATAGCCTTCCTGTAGACGCTGAAAAACGAAAACAGGTTAGTCTGGAACTAGCAGTTGACGGAGGGTTGGAAATCAATCATTCGAGGGAAAAACCTTGCCGCTCTGAAACCGTTAGCAATTTAGGAAAAATGCAGCGTTTATGGCTATTAAAAGCAGGTATAATCACCAGACCATTTGGTGTAGGAAAATAATTCATACTGCAATGCGAACTTTAGAAACTAGCGTGCAAATTTCGGTAGAGATGAAAAAATATAGGTTGACCGTTCTACTTCGTGTGCGTCTCGTTTACACTGTTACGCTACCAGTTGAGCAATATCGGGATGACGACTGTAGCGTATGACGGATCAGATCAATGCACGTCTATGGAGGTCGCTTACAGCTACGACCGGGAAGTTATTCCTATGACTAGAGATAATAGTCGCCGTAATTCGTCTATGTTTCTTCGACAGATAGGACAGGCACTTTTTCTAGAGTTACGCTAACCAAAAAGCCCTATCTAACTTCTGCGGCAAGAGGTAGTGTCAGACAATATAATAACGCTATTTGTACGGATATATATACAACATCACAGCTGACACTCCGTTCGCATTGCAAAATTCATCAATAACTTAGCGCAATAACAACACAAGCAGCACCGCGAGCACCGAATACCGAATCGCCTGACACAATGGGTGAGGTTGGATCAGAACGCAGGGAGGTGAATGAAATAAGGTCTTGTATGCGTGTTTTGGAGACGTGTCTAAATTGAATATTTCAAGGATTCTAGCTAAAGCAGCTTGTTGATCGATCTGATAGTGTGCGAACGTTCAACGCGGCTAAGTGCAAAGGGAATTTCTGCTTCAAAAATCCTATAACTTCTGATTGTTTGGTCTTACTGGTAAAACGTTGAGTGATATCCGATGGGTGACGTAAACATGAGGCATCTGGGAATTTTCGGGATTGAGAGGCCGCCAAAGGGCATAGAGAATGAAGATGAAGATAAAACCAGTCCTGATGAAATCCAAGTTATGGGACCCCAGAGTAACACCTAACCGAATCCATATGGATTAATGTCTTTGTGTCTTACTTTATTCTATTAAGATAGCAGCACTTCAAAGAATCAGGGCATCCCCGGCTTATCACTCGTGAAGAACTCTAAAATCCTCGAACAAGACTGACCCATTTGTGAATAACAGTCTCCGTCCTCACAACCACTAACCATGTGCTTTTGTGCATCGGTTTAGGTTGTTTTCTGATGACTACTCATTTGGATGGAGTATGGAGAATTGAAATGTTAAAAACAATGTCAGGGTAAAAAAGATAACTCATGAAAAACAAGGTTATAAAGAAATTCAGAGGATACNCCCACCGGTGATGCCGCCGATCCCTATGTCCAGGAAGCCCCATGCGACCTATGTAAATCTCCTGGTCATGGTTACCATACCCTCAGGTTAGGTCTTCGTATGATCTTTTACTTTTTCCACTTATCACCTGACTCGATAAACAGCGCCCGTCATGTTGGTGATATGCGCAACAGTTCAGTTCCGTTTGTACAACCATTAACCATGCACTTTCATGCGCCGGTTTT